TCTATCTATCTATCTATCTATCTATCTATCTATCTATCTATCTATCTATCTATCTATCTATCACAGGGTTAATCCTGTAAGGAAGGCAGGAAGGAAACATTCTAGTGTTGTTTCTAGCCTCATCTTTGTTGACCTGCTTACAGAAACTGCCTCTCCGGTTAACCCTTATTACATTGTAACAGCTAAGGTGAAGCGCCCATCGAGTGACGTTGGGTTGGCCACACCCACATGGTCACATGACCACTGAGCCACACCTTCCCAGCTGGTCATTAGGGCAGAGAACTGGTTGTTAAATTATTTGAATCCCACCACTGTTCGAGGACTACCTGTATAGAAATCAAATAAATAACTCAACCAATTATTTGACTTTACAGATACTCAAATGTTTTATATTACAAGCCCAATGCAGGAGTGGTGAAAGTCTCCTCCTTACCTGGTTTCCCCTACAATAAATGCTTTTGTAAAAGAAAGGAGTAGTTACTTCAAATCTCTCAGATTCTTTCATTATTATTTCAAAAGACCCAAACACAGCAGACAGACTAACTGATGTGAAAGGTTCACATTGCAAGGCCCTGCCTCAAATTCTGTCCTCCGTGTGCGGCAAGCCTGGTGCCTGCCTTCCCTTCCCCTCGGGGAGGACTAGCCAGGCCAGAAGAAAGCTCATCTCCACTTACCTTCGTCTGTTCGTTGCAGCTGCTCTCTTTGAGTGCACCTGCGTCCTTGGCCGAGTCCCCAAGCAGCCGCTGCCGCAGCTCAGCTAAACGTCCCAAGGCAGCAACTACGTCAGAGGAGCCTAGGAGCTGGCGAGCGCGGTCCTGCCACATAATGGCACGCTCAGTCAAGCATTGGAGGGCTTCTCCCTCGGGCAGCCGGACAGGAAGTTTCTGCAGAGCCACCAGCAAAGCCAGGATGGTCTCCAGGCGGGGCCGGCGGGACCTCTGGCATAGAGGACACAGGAATTTTGCATCCCACTCCCACCATGCCGGAGAAGGCCGGGGATTGCCCAGGCGAGGCCAAGCTGCACAGGTGGTGTGGAACCAGTCCTGACATAGTTCACACTGCAACATAGCAGGGCTGGGAGGCTGGGAACACACACAGTACTGGATCCCAGGAGGACTATGCATGGACGGCACAGGCTTCTGGGTGTTTGACTGGCGTAGGCGGAGAATCCCTGCTTTCTCCTTCTGTTCACCTTCTTTGAAGACCAAGATCTGCCGGCATAAGATGAACAATTGTGATTCTCTGGGCCCTTTTAAACCAACAAAGCATACCCTAATTTTTCTCTGCTTTGTTTTGTATTTTTTAGTTTTGCCTCAATCCTTTAAGACCTTACCAAGAGTTCTTGCAAATTTTTTAGCTGAATTCTGCCCTCACCAGTACCTACAGCTTGACCGTTTTAGCAGGTTAAAAGCATTTCGTCTTGAGACAACCAATCTGGGTAAGCTAGAATAGCACAACCAACAATTTAAAAAAAAGTCCTGCGCTGTATTAGTCACAGCAACACCCCGTTTCCTAAGGCAGCTACTCACAACAGAGCCAGGGTCCCTGAGGTCCTCTGCTGAGAGGCCCAGTCTCTCCGTGTCAGAATTGTAGAGGCCTGGCTCCTTCTCCCGCTGCCATTTAGTGCGTTTGACGCTATCGGAGTCAGCATCGGCACACGGGCACAGCACCTGACGGAAAGACATTGAAGAATGAAGCTTTCCTGCCTCTGAGGTGAGGCTTTAAATCCCCATCGCTAGCAGTTCAAAAAAGCACCCCCTAACCTCAAGCAACGTGTAACAGGAGTTCTTTTTGAGAAAGGTCTTGGAGGCCTTTTCCCGCCAGGAATGTGCAGTCGCTACTTGTACTTCCAAGTGATGCAATTCCTCCAAGTGCACTGGCAAATCTCTACCCACAGCCACAAGGCCCTCCAGGTCATCCAGGCAGGGATAATGGTCTCCATTCTGTGAAGAGGACACAGCATAGACTAGAGTACTCTAGAGTTGAAGCAGCAAGCTCAGGTTCCACTGCCCCCAGCCCAGGGCTACAGCCCACCTGGATCTCCTCCACATCAGCAATCCAAGCCTGCGCTTTGGACAGAGCCTCCTTGAGCGACAGGATATTGGGTAAGTGCACTGGGATGTTCTCTGCCTCCTTGATGATGGCCTCCAGCGTAGCTGGCGAATGCTTCTGCCTGCAAGAAATCAGGGATGGGCAGGATTGTCAAATAAATTATCACAGGGCATCTCTACGAAGCGATGCCTGGCTAAACCGTTGTGAACCCTCTTCTAGGAGCCACAGACTCCCCACGACTGAAGCTTACCTGGCCTCTAGGCACATTTGCGCTTTTTCCTCCCAACGCTCAGCAATAGTGAGTAACTCCTGCAACTCGGCCATCGCCTTATCCACAGCAGGACTCGGGGAAACTCCACCGCCAGAGGTGATGAGTGCTCTCATGACAGAGAGAGTAACCTTATCCTGGGGTGAACGCAGAGTCTGCTTGACCTCCTCCAGCCAGACTGCCTGCTGCACCTGCCTCTCCAGCAGCTCCATCTCTGGCACCTCCACCCCTAATCGCGTTCCTTGTGCCAGTAGTTTGTGCAACTCTGGGGAATTGCCTGAAAGATCTTGTAGGGCCTCTTGAACTTCCACCTGGAAGGCTTCCACCTTCTCCAACACATCCTGGAAAATGACACACGGCAATCACAGCCAACCCACTGGTGCAACCAGTGTGCCACCCAGACACAGTCCCAATTCTTCCCTTTATTGTGATCATCAATAATCATACCATAACTCTCTGTTGCTCACCTGGACCTCCTTTATCTGGTGCATGACACAGGGCAAGTTTGTCATTTGCTCTAGGAAGGCACGTAATTCCTCTACTGTCATATGGACTGATGACTCTCTGTAAGTTAAGGAGGAAAAAAGTGGGACATGTTTCATTATAATTCCAGAAAATACATCTCAAAAACAGCTGGACATGAAAATAACAAACAGATAAAGAGAACACCCATTACGTGTGAGAAAAGACTTCCTGAAAAGTATAATTATCTACCAGAAAACAAAAGCAAGAAAGGTAGTCTTAAAAAAAGGGGGCCACATAATTCCTCTACTGTCATATGGACTGATGACTCTCTGTAAGTTAAGGAGGAAAAAAGTGGAACACGTTTCATTATAATTCCAGAAAATAAATCTCAAAAACAGCTTGACATGAAAATAACAAACAGATAAAGAGAACACCCATTACGTGTGAGAAAAGACTTACTGAAAAGTATAATTATCTACCAGAAAACAAAAGCAAGAAAGGTAGTCTTAAAAAAAGGGGGGGTGGGAGGCTTCACGGGATGATTTAAACAGAGTGAAAAGATTCTACGTGGCATCTTGTCTTATCGATACAATTCTACTTAAAACCGACTCTCTGCACTCACTCTGTTTCTTGAATACTTATCAGACCCAGGGCCTCTGAGACACACTTCTCCGCTTCACTCAGACAGGTTTTGAGCCGATGAAGAAGTTCATTCTCAGGGAAGTTCCTCTCACGTGCCTCCGATTCCAGGGCACGCAACTCCTCCAAGGCTGTAAAAGGCACAGAACATTGTGGCCTCCAGACCCATCGGATTGGTCCAGCTGTACTAGCTACTCTCAACTTCCCCGGAAGAAGCGAGGCTCTCTTGAGTTTTATCAATGACAGTCATCTGGCCCTGAGTGGCTTCATTATTCCTCCCATTCCAGACTCAGTAGTTCCCTTCCATCCAGAAGCCCCTTTCTAGGACTCAATGCTGCCGTCTCCACTCCCATTTTCCCAAACCTATAATCCAATTAAGGATTCAGGTTCTCCAGACAACATGCCTGAATAAATGTGATAGCGATGACATAGGGCCTCAAGGGGATAGGTACATTTCTTCCACTAAGACCTCAGGGATTGACTTCTTAAAAGGCCCCAGAATCAAGGAGCGGAAGGGTGGGTCCACCTACTTCTCTTGCGTCCATCTTCCACTTCCAAAGCAATGCGAACTTTGTTGGCCCATGTGTCAAAGCATTCAGCTCGGACCTTCAATTTATGTAACATGGCTGGGAGTTCATCCAGAGTATACCGATACCTGAAGGAGGAAGGACATTCAGAGCAGAAAAACGGTAAATGTATTTCAGTCGGTCCCACAAGCAATGCCTTTTCACAACATTCGCTTGGGTTCATATTGTATTACACTACACAGGTATACAAGAGTTCATTTAGTGACCATTCAAAGTTACGACACCAAAAAAATGGGACATGACTATTTTTCACATCTATGACCACTGTAGCATCCCAAAGGTCATGTGATAAAAATTCAGACACTTGGCAATTGATTCATATTTATGATGGTTGCAGTGTCCTGGGATCATATGATCCCCTTTTGCAATCTTCTAACTACCAGTCAATGGAGAAGCCCGATTCACTTGATCACCGCGTTCCTAACTTAAGAAGTGCAGCGATTCACTTAACAACTATGGCAAGAAGCATCGTAAAATAGGGCAAAGTGCACAACAACTGCCTCACTTAGCAACAGAAATGTTGGGCTCACTTGGGGTTGTATGTCAAGGACTACCTGTCATTGGTTTCTCAAGTAAAGATACATGAAAGAACCATTAGGACAACCCTTCCCAAATTATTCTGGACCAACTTGATTAAGGAGGATGGTTCTCTTTAACTAGCCCCATTATGAATAAAGGAGGCTCCTGTAGGCTCAGGGTCTCAGAGTCTAGCCATGGCCTTGATGGCTAAAGACTACAACTGCCTCAGAATTCTATTGGGGATGGGAGACACAATATACAAGGAAGATCATGCTTATAGGTTAAAATTCATCACTGTGCTAATAATGCTCAGTTACAGCTCCCTTCTAGGCTGATGCCACTGAGTTTCTTTCTCAGTGGATGAAGGTGGAGGTCCGAAGTGGGAAAAGAGTTTTCAATTTAACCAAGCAAAATGCTGCTGGTGTTGAGTTTCAGAATCCTTTGGGATTCTTTACCTCTTGTCCTGGATAGGGTTACACTCCCTCAAAAAAGAACTACTACTGCACAATGTATTGGCCTCTTGGATCCCCAACTCCTGCTGAGGTGGCAGACATGGCTGGGGGATTTTTGCATAAATCCTCTTGCACCTCAATTGCCCCCCTTTCTGGAATGAGAGACTGGCTCATGGTCAATTCATGCCCTGGGCTATTCATATTTGGGTTACTCCACCGCATTCTACATGAGGCTGTCTCTGCAAATCACCTGGAATCTGCAAATGGTCAAAAGTGCAGCTGTGTAAATAGGTATGGCACCACACCTTAGTTCAGGGGTCCCCACCCCCCCACCCCCAGTCCATGGACTGGCACGAGGCTACGGCATGCCAGAAACTGGGTCGTGCAAACAAAGTCCCATCCGTGGGATGCAGGCAGCACATGGAATCATAGCTCCTCCGGTCTGTGGAAAAACCTCTCTCCACCGAACCGTCCCTGGTGCCCAAAAGGTTGGGGGCCGCTGCCTTTGTACTTGCATAGGTTTGCAAGCTGCACTGTCTTGCTATCATAAACTCAGCATAATTCAGGGTACTGGTTCTCTCCGATGAAGCTTTCATTGCATAGGTAAAGGTTCCCCCTGCCCATGCGTGCTAGTCATTTCTGGCTTCATTGCATAGGACTGGGTTATTTGTGGAATCCAGTTATCTTTGCTTGGCCACTAGATCTAGCAGGTTCAGATCCCTTCTATGAAGCAGTATCTCCTGATAGAACCCAGCAGGTAAGTGTTCTCTGTTGCAGTGCCTATCCTGCAAAATGTTCCCCCCATGGTTCAGATGAACTCCATCCAGAATCCAGAACTCCCATCTCTAGCCTCTCTCTAGAGCAACGCTCTCTAGAGCGTTGCTGGCTGGGGAATTCTGGGAGTTGAAGTCCACACATCTTCAAACTGCCAAGGTTGAGAAACACTGCTCTAGAGATCCTACATGAGATATGTGCTGGTGGATCTCAGTTAATTCCATTGTTGTACTCCTTTACGTTCTATACTTATTGTATTGTATTTTCTAGTTCCTTTTTTACGCTCCTACAAACTGTAAGCCATCAGTTTGTGAAAGGCAGTCATATAAACCTAACCCAATAAGTGACTATATTTTAATTTAACGTGACTCAATCGTGAAATAGCCCACGTTTCTACTCACCTGAGGTACTGCCTGCTACTCGGGCACTTGCAGAGGTCATTGATGTGATAAAGGCAGACAAGACAATTGGGACAATCATTGCAAGCCAGCGCTGACAGAAAACAGGTTGTCTTGCATTTGTCACACTGGCGCTCATCATCTGGAAGCAACTCGAACGCCTCTCGCTCGGCTTCAGTGATTCCCTGGGACAGCAGAGAAAATCGATGAGAGGCTTGATCATTCCCAACTAATCCTGGCTTCGGACAACGTTCACTTGCCATCTCAACCCACCTTGTCAAGGAGAGCCTTTCGCAATTTACGCTCCTCCTGGACCAAGATAAACATCTCCTTGTGTACAGCAGCAGCCAAGTTCAAGTCCAACTTTTCAGGGCAAGCAGCCATTTTGCAGATAAGCTCCTCATGGGAGAAGACACAGTAGCGGCGAAGGCGCCGATAGTGCTCAATGCACTGGCGACCAGCTGGCAGCTGAACATGAGGCAGAGGGGGGGGG